GGGGGGGGGGGGGGGGGGGGGGGGGGGGGGGGGGGGGGGGGGAGAGGAGGATTGGGAAGGCAGTTTACTTTAGTTTCAGTTCCAGACCCGCACTTCTGCATCGCTACTGCTTGTGTTGCTGGGGGGAGGGCGGAGGGCGAAAGACCCACCTCCTCTCCTTGAATCCGCCTATGAACAGATTCGAATTAAACTCAAAACAATGGTATCATGAGTCATCAATGGCTATTTTTTTTTCAACATTAAAGTGACTCGCTCTTGTACGTTTACCGACTACTTTCTAATTTGAAAGATTTCGAGATACACTGCTAAGACGTGTGACATTCATGGTTGCCCGTGGTTCTCGTTCACCAGAGGCTGTAAGGCTTTAGTGCTTGAGGTTACTGTTCGCCTTATTTAACCGCATTCTTACAAGATGATGACGCTACGCATACAAAGCATTGCGTACTGCTAATAATTCAGTAAAAAAATGGAAAATAACTTTGAGAAAAAAAAGCAATTACAGTTCGCAATGCTTTATGTAGTGGCGTAACCAGCAAAGCAGTGGCAGCCGCTCGCTTTGAGCAGTGTAGAAGGGAAAATGTGAGAATCTGAGCCAAGCAGCTGAGAACTTAAGAAATCCGAGCAAAATTTAACCATAGCGGGAATTAACACAAGCAGAAGGCGCGGAAGCCCAGCTGAGAGCTGAATAATTAGTTCTGAAAGTGCTGAAAAGTGTGTAATATTTAAACAAGCAAGGCATGAAATTAGTAGAACTGCATGGGAAACACGCATACTTCTTTGTCAGAAAGTAGCACGCTACTAGTTTTATGTAATCTAGTCTCTACTCGCTATAACAGCTAACACACTTTTAGAGCCCTTACTGACGAGTGTAGGTTATGAAGATCTGAATCTGTAGGGTCGTTGCAGTCCTACAAAGCAATCAATGTCCCTCCATCGGAATAGTGGGTACAGAGTTTCAAATTGCAGTTAAATAAGTTGTTCTGGTTCCATTTCGTGCTTTTTTTTACAGCACTCAACTTCATTGCGAATGTAACAGAAAATAAAGTGGAAAGAACGGTTTCTCAATTACGTATCAGAAAAAATGCTGAAAACTGAAAGAGACATTGACGAACAAAAATACAATTTACCAGAAACGACAAAAAATAAAAGCGAGTTCAAAATATGTTGAAACAAAAAAACTGAGGACCTGCTAGTGGATTATGAATTACCTACTAATTCAACGAACAAACAATTTTAGACTCTATGAGCATTTTCGCGATTCGCACCGAATAAAGTTCCATTGATGTGCAAGTTCTCCAATATCGCTGGGAAAATCATGCTTCTTGTAAGCAATTCCTTTAGCACAGAGTTTAGTATTAACCACCATACAAATCGTTTGTTTGCAAATGCACGCATGTTTTGTTGTGTTTCATTCCTGACAAGGAGACCAGACAAATAGCCCTCACTGATAAAAAAGATCTAGAATTTAAAAGAGCACGAAAACTATTAGTACGAATCTGAAAAATGTTGCACTGCGGGTACAGATTACAAAATGAACAATTCAAGTGAATTCAAGATAAGGCAGATCGTCCTGCAGTAAAAGCTGTTAGAAATATCACTTATCATTGCAAAAATAAGTTGTGACAACACTGTACAGTAACTGAAGGACTGAAGTGATAAACCATCCCGGATATGTCTGACGTTTTGATCCGAAATTTTTGTGGCTGTAAATTCCCGCAAATTGGACGCTTCCTAACAGAAGTAGGATCGAAACTTTTAGTTTGAGGAATGGGAAGTTGGATGGTCCAAATCAGGTTGCTGTTGTTGTTGCTGCTGCTGCTTTTGTTGAGAATAAACTTCATATGTGGCTGCATTTGATCCGTTGCAGTCAGCGCGACAAAATTCAGCGGTGCCACCTAAACCTTCTGCACTGGACATTCCAGATGAGCCTCCACGTCCACTAGAACTTGACTCGATCGAGAACCTCCGCTGTTGACTGTTGGTGTCAGGCACCGCTTTTTCAGTCGATGTTTCCTCATTTGTCTCTTTCACCAATCTAGAAAAATTCATTCAGCTTTTGGTGACGTTACGTCAACAGTAAGCAGAAATTTCAGATCAAAAACAAAATTCAGATCAAGTTTTCATCCGACCAGCTTTAAAACTCTCTGCTTAAACTTCAACTAATGCAGTGGAGCCCCTGCTGCTTTGAGAAACAGTCATACGCCAAAGATGGATGTGCCAGGATTTCTTGAACTAAATTACTGGATTACAAAGCGAGAAAGAAAGCCATGGCCCGGTTTATCTACGAAAAGACTATGCGCATAACCGGTAGAAGTGGCAGTCTACGGAAAGTAGCATGAATGTGAAAACATCTTAGTAAAATTAATGTCCCACATCAGAAAAACCTTAAGCCAAATTTGCGACCTAATGCAAGTGCTGAACCGAGTACACTGTTCCAAAAGACATCGAAATTCGATTTTTTTTCTAGTAAGCTGTGCGCATCAAAAAGAGGGTGCGGTAAACTACTAGTGCTTTTGTAATAAACTACAAGGCTGACAAAGGATGAATGTGTTAACAGATATTTCACTTATTTCATTGCCTGAAAAGCAGCAAATTTGTAAAATCATAGTTTGCTTCACTCTGGTGCTGTAATCTTATTCTAGTTCGAGCGCAAGGTATGTAAGTCCCACTTCCGTTTTTTTGTAAGATTCCGTGAAATCGAAACTCGTGTGATTAAAAAATCCAAATCGTCATCCATTCAGATAAAAAAACAATCATGAATGGCAGCGTGCACCCGGGAGACAGCTCTTGTGAATGGACGTTGAGCGAGCAAACCTGAACCGAACCCAAAACAATTGGACGTAGTAAAAACAAGTAGCGCCGCGCATCACGCTTGCTAGTCTGGCCATGCGCTTTTTGCATAGCGTTTCTTATGGCTGTTTTTTGCCGCCTATGAAGCACCGTTTTTTCGAGCAGGTACTTCTAACAAAAAAACCCAGGCTCGAACGCACCAGGCTCTCCGGTGCGACTATGCGTTTTTGCACTAAACTCGCAGATCGTTATAGCAGGAATGATCCCTACGGTGTAGCCTAACACTTGGGCTAATATTGGGCGTGCTTTGATCCTTATCGGCATGTAGGAGGAAGGGCATCAGTTGGGATGAAGGTGGTGCATTATAGAGCCGCACGGGCATCTAGATGCATGATTACCGGTTTTTTTGCATGAAGTCCGGTCATTTTTTCAGTAAATGCTCGCTTTGTGAAAAAATGACAGATGCAAATTTTTTGAAAAAATGCAAATTCCCAGTTTACTAAAAGTAGAAGTACTGCTCGAGCGGTCGTTTCCAAAAAATCTGCGTTCATTTACATGTACATTTGCAGTTAAAGTCCGAGCTGCAAACGAATTTTTGAAAATATGCAAATTTTTAGTTCATTGAAAAATTAAAAGTATTGCCCGAACGGTC